GTCTATTCTCTTTTACTAAAAAGAATATTAACCCACTAAATTAATTTTGTAATCCACTGATGGGGTTTAATCTACAACTCAAAAAACATTCGTATTAGTATATATATTACTCTAGCCCAAGCCATCGTCATCAATTTTTCTCCCTTTACTAGAGCATTTCCTGTTGGCACACAAACCTGCTTTAATTTAATCCAACTTAAAAAAAGATGAAGAAGAATCTGTACAAACTGGCCTTGCTGGGTTTCTGCACTCAGTCTGTTAGTATTAGATCACACCCTTTGTGTCCAATCATATTTCTAAATGGTTGTCCATGCTTCAGTCATGCCTATCCAATGAAGTCTCCATAAAAGGCCCAGGAGGACTGAGTCCAGAGAGCTTCTGGGTAGCTGAACACCTGGAAGGTGTGCTGGGGAGGGCATGAAAGCTCTGTATCCCTTTCCCCATACCTTGCCCTATGCATCTCTTCATTTGTAGCCTTTGTAATATCCTTTATAATAAACCAGTAAGTGTGTTTCCCTGAGTATTGTGAGCCACTCTAGCAAATTAATCAAGCCTAAAGAGGGGGTTGTGGGAACCCCAACCTGAAGCCAGTCAGTGAGAAGTTCTGGAGGCCTGGACTTAACTAATGGTATCTGAAGTGGGGGATGTCTTGTATGACTGAGCCCTCAACCTGTGGTATCTGACACTGTCTCAAGGTAGATAGTGTCAGAATGAATTGGATTAGAAGATGCCCAGCTGCTGTCAGCTGCAGAATTGATTACTTGCTTGTTGGTGGGGAGAAATCCCTACACGTTTGGTCATAGAAGTCTTCTGTGTTGATTGTTGTAGGGGAGAGCAGAGGAAAAACAGTTTGTTTTTTCAACCAACTTATAATATCTAATACAATGTAAATGCTATGTAAATAGTTGTTATACTGTGTTATTTAGGGAATAATGACAAAAAAAGAAAACAGTCCGTATGTGTTCAGCACAGAGGCAACCATCAATAGGCTTTGTACACATCACCAACAATGTAACATTTTCTTGGATTTTTTTTCTTTATATTTTCTATCGGTAGTTGGTTGAACCCAATGACGTGGAACCCGACAGTACAGAAGGCTGACTGTATAAATCAATCAGCTATCATCCTAATTGCTGGGCATATAGATTTTCTGATTTTCCTAAGTGAAATGGTTTGCCTCAAGGGTTTTTACTCCTGTAACAACCCATCCACTTCTCCCAAGGAGTTAGTGACTTATTGAAACCAGTCAAGAATTTTGCAGCTAGCAATTTATGGGAAAAATAAGGATTTCTGAGGTAGACATGTGATTTGAGAGTGGATGGACCCCTGGAGTGGAAGGTCTGGAGGCCTAACTTCTAGTTCCTGCCTGGTCTCCAGCATAAGGTGTGACCTCTGGCAGTCTGGTCCTTAGGATGTTTAGCAGAAGCCTGAGTCTCTGAAAGGGCAAACACAGTTGATCCTTGAACAACATGAGTTTAAACTTCAAGAGTCCACTTATACATGGATATTCTTCAGTAAATACAGTCGGCCTTCCTTATCTGTGGGTTTCACATCCGCAGCCAAACACAAAGATTGAAAATACGATGTTCGAGGAATGTGAAACCTGCATATATGGAGGGCCACTTTTCATATTTCCAGGTTCCACACAGCTGACTGAGAGACTTGAGCATGTAGGGATTTTGGTATATTGGAGGGGAGGCAGTGCTAAAACCAATCCCCCTCACATACAGAGGGACGACTGTATACTGTATCTCTATCAGGTACTCCTAGAACCTGAAGTGAGGAGGCATAGATGAAAAACTCCTCTGAGTTTTTACTACCTTTTTTCTTCAGTTAACAAGCAATACATACTAAGTAAATAATACATATGGATATACACCAGAAATTTCTTAAAGAGGAGCAATATTTATGCTTTATTTGATTGACTTCCAGAACTTAAAAACTTCTTGACTATCATTTGGGAATTTATTTTCTTCAAGTAAAAGGATACAAAATATTCATAGCAAAATTAAGTATTTCTATATATAAGGAAAAGGGACACTATTCTCTGTACCATCTTTTTGAGGCAGTGTCGGGATTTCTTTCATTTTACAGCTGGAAATAAGTACTGAGATTTAGAAAAGTTAGGTACTAGGTACTATAAAATCCAGTAACAAGGCTGGGAAGAGGATACTTGTTTCCTAGCTCCCGAGAAAATGATACAGGTTATATTGTTCATTGACTTCAAAGGCTGCCCAGTTTTCTTGTACCAGAGTTTAGTTTTTAAGAACATTATTTGAATTGATAGCATAGGTTGAACATAGGAGAATTTGAGCAGTTCCATTTGTTACTGCCTTCTTTTTTTTTTTTGAGACAGAGTCTCGTTTTGTTGCCCTCGCTAGAGCGAGTGCCATGGCGTCAGCCTAGCTCACAGCAACCTCAAACTTCTGGGCTCAAGCAATCCTACTGCCTCAGCCTCCCGAGTAGGTG